ATAATAAAAGTCATAGACATCATACAATAAGAAAGATAAAACAGGTAACCGATTCTGCTGGTCTGATCTCTTCTGGCAGACTGTTCCAAAGTGTAGGGGCCCTCACTGCAAAGGTTCTGTCTCCTTTGGTTGTCAGCCTTGATTTTGGAATGGTTAGCAACGCTGTCCCAGAGGATCTCAGACTACATCCTGGCTTGTATTCAAGTTCTGAAATTAAGGGATGGGCCAGGGTCTACTAACTGTCGACAGGATTTATTTCTGAGTAAACATGTGCGAACAAAAGTCAAAGCCAGTCCAATGCATCCCAAACATATTAAGTCCAGATTTTACCAACTGTGTTTAAGTCGGTCTTAGATTTGTTCTCCCTGTCACTTTTTAAAGCTGCTCTACAGGAAGTTGTTAGTGGGTCAGTGGAGGGAAGGCAGAGAGCACATTGAACTAAATAGGTATCGAACAAAAACGGGCACCGTTAAAGAAGCCTTTTCTAACTGAGGTGTGCCTCCCCAGGGCCATGGACAGAGAGACTGTCCTCTAATTACAGCTTAAGTCATCTGTGCAGCAGTTTATTACAACCCATATCTTCATTTTATTGCTAGGCGACCTGTAGAGGCCACAGTATTGATGGCAGGAGTGAAGGAGGTCAACTAGCCGTCTTCCTTGTTTCAGTGACGGAAACAATATTGTAACTCTGGTATTATTTTACGAACAAAATGAATGTTTCTTTTCATATTTAACCATTAGCCCTCAAGGTAATGCTGCGGTTAGCACTGCCACCTCACATCAAGAAGGTTCGTAGTTCCTGTTGAGTTTGCATGTTCTCCCTGCGGTAGTGTGGGTTTCCTCTGGTTACTCTGGCTTCCCCACAGTCCAAAGACTTGCAGATTAGGGTTAGGTTGATTGACCATAGCTGTGAATGTGAGAGGGAATGGTTATTAGTCTCTACTAATGCAGTGCCCATTCTAAACATGCCTGTTTGAAATGGGCTGTTGTCTTGGTCTGTGTGAAAGCTCTGGAGCTATATCAGAATTAGTCCTTGTCATTAGTGAGTCCTCCTCAAACTGTTCTAAAATATACTCACTTTTTCATTGTTGGCATGATGAACGATGCGTGCAGAGCTTTTTACAAACACTCTTTTTTTATTAAGGTACTTTGCTCATATAAGTTTGAATATTTGACCGTTATTATTTTGTCATACATTGAATGTCGACTATTTCAGATTTCTGTGAAGCACCCGGCACAATCTTGAGACCCAAATTCACAACCTTTTAGAATGAATGAATTCAATTTTATTTGTTTTGCACCAAATCATAACATAACATTTACACTTTACACAGTAAGTTCAAGACCTTACAAAATTATACAGAAGCTCAACAGTTCCTACGATCAGCCAGCACAAGCATGTTGTTGCCAGGACGGAGATTAGCACCTGTGCTGTGTGTCTGTGTCTCAGTCTGATAACCCGCTGTTTGTTGGAATTTTGTTAATGTTTTCAGTTACACGCTACATCTATTGCACTTCTGTCTGTCCTGGGAGAGGGATCCCTCACACATGGCTCTCTCTGAGGTTTCTTTATGTTTCCCCTCCTGTTAATAGGGTTTGTTTTGGTAGTTTTCTTCCATTACTCTTGTTGAGGGTTAAGGACAGAGGATGTCGCACCTTGTCCAGCCCTATGAGACAAATTGTGATTTGTGAATATGGGCTATACACATACATTTTGATTGATTGATTGTTTGACCCCGTTGGAGACTGTTGCTGTAGATTGAGATTGAGAAGAAGACATGTTCAACTCACCTTTTTATTCATACTGTATAGTGAGTGAATCATGTGTCCAAAATTCACCAATATTGTCATTGCACTTTCTGAATAATTTACCATAGACATGCATCACTAGACCGCTCAGTTTTTGAGACATACACGCATTTAAAATGCCAAAGATTTAGGGCTAAGCTCTGAGTGCAGCCACCACATATTTGTTGATTGTCACCAAACCTTTAGATAAAAAAACACCTTCTCGGACCATTTTAAACCAGCAGATTGTGAAGGAACATTCTATCCGTCCGTTTTAACGAGCTGGCTGGGGTTGAGACTCTGACAGCACTCCCCAGACATTTCCCAAACTGGCTACTGTTGATTGAAGAGCTTCCTGGGAGGCAGATACAGCTGCATGTCTCCCTTCTCTGTTTTTACTGAGGCAATCTGCACTAACAGAAACAACCGAAACCCATCTAGTGAGATGTGTGTGTGTGTGTGTGTGTGTGTGTGAGGGTTAAGAGAACGTTTCATGCATTTCTTTTTCCAGTAGTCTCACAGACATAATGGATTTCAAATATGATATTTTCAGTTTACTCTTCTCCACAGAGGGTAGTGTTTGTAGCATTAAGACGAACATATAGACTTTCATTAAGTGTTTCATTAATCATTCAGAGAAGTAAACAGAACATTGTGTCAGCAATGAACCAATAAAAATGACTTAAATGTGTTCTAAAAATAAAACAAATTGTTCACAGTTGAAACACGTTACCTCCTTCGTTGTTAATGGGACGTCAGAGAAGAAAGGACGGAGCGGAATGGCTGTGCCGGATTATTTGTTGTCGGTGACAGGCTTTTTGACAGCAAACAACACGACTGGTGACTAATGTTTGTTCAGTCATCTGCTGGTGGCGACTCACAGTTTACAATTATTGCTTCTGTTGCGTTGCAGCAAATTTGTCACTGACTGATTTCTCTCTGTCTCTCCCTCTTTCCCCATCTTCAGGTTGCAGTTGGCATTGGATACCATGGAATCAGACTGGCAAACATTGTGGATATCTTTAACTGCGACAGTTATGTTGTGATGCGTGGACCAAACGTGCAGATATCGGGGCTCTATAAGTAGAGGAGATCACCACATTCATTTTAAGGCTCCTATCCAGGCACGACAACCTCTAACTAACTCTCACTGTTGAAACATGAGGGTTTAAGTTGAGTCAGCAAGTCAAAAACAGCAAAATGCGTCATCGCATCAACAGTCAATAAGACTTCTTGGGCCTCTCGCCAACTTTTTTTTTAACTTATTGTAGCTGTTTCTTCACCAGACACAGACATGCGACCGTCCCTGGCCACAGCAGTCCTGCCACCCAGGACCCGCTCCCACAATCCACCCAACCTGGCTGTGGGGGTCCGCGAACACCTTTCAGCTCCAAGAAGGCGCAGCCCCCACCTCCGGCACACCCTCAGCCCAGAGAACCTGCGGACCCTGGCGGAGAGGGGTGGGGCTGCTGTTGATACCGTGTCTGTGGTCAGCAGTCCTATAGGGCTTCCACGTGCTAACAGTGATACAGACCTGGTGACGTCCCAGAGTCGCTCCTCGCTCACGGCGTCCACTCTGGAGTACACGCTGAACCGGGGTCAGAACCTCGTCATATCCTGGGATATAAAGGAGGAAGTGGATGCTACCGACTGGATCGGGCTGTACCACATTGGTTAGATGATTATATTTACTCATGTTGTAACTGGTATAGCTTTTAATTAACTTTTAATTCTTCTGGGCAGGTCAAGGTTTGAAGTCTGGGTCTATATTAACTCTTATGTTTTTGAAGATGGATTAAAGTCAAGTCACGGGTCCTCATAACCAAATGCAAGTCAAGATGAAATATCTAAATGCACGATGTAGTTCAGCCATAAGTGAATGGCTAGAAATCCAACTTCATTGCATCATTTCCAAACATCTCAGTTTCTGCCCATCCATACTAAAACACGTGTTCCCAGTGTACATGAGTGGTCATGTGATATGTGTTTTCAATCATATTAGTATGGACGGGGCCAAAACACTTGTGTGACCAGAGATTGTTTTAGTTTGAAAATGCCACTTTCAAACTAAAACGTAGCTGCATGGAAGAAGCCTTAGTCACATTATATGGTTTCTTGTTATCCTCAATTTTGGGCCATAGCAGATGTGTGACAAGTGATACCTACTTCATGCAACATATCGATCAGCTGGATTTTTTACATGAGTCAAAGCAACTATCACATTTTCAACACTCAACAACATCAACAAAACAACATGTTAGTTGCGGAGATGTCTTGTGTTCTAAGATCACCCCTTTGGATTCTGGAACAAGCAAAACACATAAAAAACATTGTTGTTGTTGTTGTATTTGCTTTCCCCCAAAATGACTTTTGGAAACTCGCAGCCACTCAGGAACAGAGTGAGCTTGACCCTACGTGTCCTCAAAGCGTATCAGCTGATCCGGGTGTTTTATTATTGGAAGCTGAGAGTAGCCAGGTATAGTCTTGTGCAGGAGCTTCCATCTCTGAGTCAATACTGAAACAGGAGCGGTTGAGACTTTACACAGGATTGGAAGCTGAGTCAACATGTAACAGCTCTGCCTTGGTGTACGATAACACACACACCATCACAAACCACACAGGTCCTAGCGGCAAGCAGGGTGGTCTCCAATAATAAATGCTAATCCTGCTTAGAGACAGGAATTTGACAGGGGGAAATACATTGACCTGTGTGCTGAAGAGGGCTATCAGTCTCAAACTGTCTTGCAGATCTGTCCATCAGGGTGAAAAGCAATACAGCAGCAACTGTGTTCCACTGGCACATTTGGTCTTAACAATCCATGAATTTGATGCCGTCTTGCTTACTTAGTAACAGCTGACATCACCTTACATTGGCACCTGTAACCTAAAGCAAGCTCTTACTCAGCATTTTGTTTCTGAGAGAAATTAAGAGATCTACCAAAGACCACCTCGGTATTACAAGATGAAACCTTTGACCAAATTAAGTTATAATTTGTCAGCATACAAAACAACTGCATCTGCCATGAGTATTTTGAAAAAGTGGCAGGGCTTTGCAAATCGTTTACATTGATTATATTTACATTTCACCATTCATCTTTATTTCTTATATGTCATTTTTCCAACTCTATCGCTGCTGACCAAAAAAAACCCATTCCAACAATTCTCTCTGTCCGGCTGTTGGCTGTTATCACAGACAATCCTGAACAAACCCTCGACGTGCTTATTTTTAACGTGCAAGGGTCGGGGGCTAATGGTTCAAGGCAACCAGAAACTGAAATATTAAAGGGGCATTCCATCCATTTTACCCACAAAGGTCAGCTTATTTGTCAGGGGTATGACTATTGAGAGGTCTATCTACAGTCTGTGAAACAATATCCCTGATGATGCCACCTGTCTTATCTCAGGTTTGTCTTTGAGACAAAAAAACAGGATCAGTGTCAGGAGCCCTGCCAATAAACTGAAAAGACCCACCAGGACAGGGAGGGTCAAATGCTATCGGTTGGATTATGGGAAATGTAGGAGCCAGTGTGTTGGGAGTAAAACCCATACTAGTGGTATTCATTGCTTCAGTTGTAAAGGACTGAATATCTATTTTCACACATAAAGTACCTACAGAGACATACTGCTGCACTGATGTAAAAAGAAATTATTTTGAAAAAAAAAATTTCAAGTCCATACATTTGCCTCCTCATGATGTGGTGAGGTGATTGATGCTCAGGGAACACTGCAGCCTGTGAGCTGCTCAGGAGAATCTATTGTGTTAATAATGGATTTCTGAAAACAATAGTGTCTTTGACTTCCCAAGAGGTCATACAAACCTGAGTACAACAAACTGCAGTGGTTTCTGGGCACCATGTTATTATTTTTACTGTGATCATGCTCATTTTAGCGTGTTTAACAAATGATTAGTTATGTTTCTGACGACCTCCAGGACTTAATTTGTTTGGATTAGTTTCCCTTGTAAATGGGACCCTATGTGGGGGAGAGATAGTGTAAACTGCTGGTGCCCGGCGAGGCGTCAGGTCAATTCATATTGATCATAAGGCTGCCAGGACTTATTATCTGCTCCGGGGTCTTATACCCCAGAGGGGCTACTGCTTTCCTCGACTAAGCAGACACTCAATGATAAGCGCCCTGCCTTCCCCTCTTCCACTCCCCTTCACGCACCCACACAGGCATGCTCATACTCATGCACACACACACACACACACAATATACACTCCTATATTCCTTGAAACTTTCCACCAGTCAGCTGAGGTTGGTGCTTCATTAATCTGCGTGCAAAAGTGCTACGTACAGCGGAATTCCCCATCCCTGTTTTTAACTCAGAGGAAGTTTGGTGTTTGTCCTTCTGCTCAGAGGTTGTAGGGAGGTTATTTTGGGAATATATTCAGTGATTAAAGAAAGAGTGTGCAGACTAAACATGCTTAAAAAGCTGAACAGATGCAGCTTGGTTGCAGTTTTAAATAGCAGCTTCATTGCAGCTTGATCACTGTCATCTGTTGTTTGATTTGATATTAAGAAGGATGTCAACACAGCAAGAACATGGTTTGACTGAACCCAGAATTAGCACCCTGCATAGCTAACTAATGGTCTTTTTTTTTTGCCAGATGAAACCAATCCTTCCAATGTGTGGGACTGTAAGAACAGAGGGGTGAATGGCACCCAGAAAGGTCAGATTGTATGGAGGCTTGAGGCTGGGCCCTACTTCATGGAGCGTAAGTTATGGGTCTCAATGATATGATTCATTAAATAAAAAAAAAAAAGAAAAATCACTTAATTCTGATTTAGCAATGGAGAATTATTGTAAAACATTTACTCATCCACAATCTCAATGTTTTTCTGGCATTCAAGGAAAAAATAATCGTTTTATGAATATTTGTATGAAACAAATCTCATGTTCACATTGTTTAATGAATAACAATCACAGGTTACAGTATGTTACCCATAAATTCAGAATTACCCTCACTATATGAAAGATTTGGACGTATTGAAAACACGATTCCACAGTCCCAGTGTAACTGAAGTGAAGCCAACGATAGGAAGATCATTTTTGTAATGTTTTCCATATCCCTTAACCCTTTGCTGTTTCCTCTGCAGCTGAGACCAAGGTATGTTTTAAGTATTACCATGGAGTGAGTGGAGCCCTTCGAGCCACCACCCCCTGCATCACCGTGAAGAATCCAGCCGTCCTGGTGAGTTAAACTGAAGTCACTTTTATACAGAGATCCTGGTATATTTCCATTAAAAAGACCCTTCATTATGCTGAGTGAAGGTTCCAATCAACATACATTTGTTGCTGTTTTTTGTTGTTTTGTCTGTGTTGATTTAGCCATTTAAATGACAGCGATCACCATCCCACGTGCAAATGTTAGACCAAAAGAAGCCACACACCAGACACTATTTTGTAGAGTCTCTGTCAATGTGTCTTGGGCTAAGTGCTGCTGTCGTATATTGGGGTAGCGATGATGTGAAGATGATGATGTGAAGATGATGATGTGAAGATGATGATGTGAAGATGATGAAGGAATCTCCGCTGACACCGTCTTGATTGTATAAAAGGTTTATTACAAAAAGTTCAGCATCAATACAAGCACTGCAGTCTGCCTAGGGAGAGATCCGGGGTCAATGTGCATCTCTCCTGCCTGGAGAGAGATTCGGGGCCGATGTGAATCTCTTCTCCGGGGGCAACTTCAACTCCTCGTTTATATAGGAGGGTTGTTTTCGTGAATCTGAAGAAAACACATCTGGCTTTCCTCCAGCCTGTCCGGTGACAGGAAGGGAAAGACACCAGCTCAAATTTAGGGTGACAGCTAGAGCCGTGATCTAATGCCCTAATGTATACATTCAGTTTTTCTCAGACAAGCTAAACTTCCTCCGATTTCTCAGGAGCTGTGGGCCTCAAACCCAAGGATACACTTCCTTTAAAGGGAAGACAACACATAGCATTTCAGACACCACACTGCACAACAGAATGATAGTGTTTGCAGCCAGACTTTTCTTCAGGACTGACAGCACTGTGGAGATACCATATGTCCACATATGTAAGACTATGGGGAAATGAGTATTTGTTGATTCAGGCAGACATTTTTCTATACCATGTTTGATATAGTCCAATTGATTGATGACCAAATACTCATATATGACAGAATCAATCTCTGACATGAGGCTGCCCATATAAGCAATGTAATTCTCTGTTGCAAACATCAATGAGCAGTGCATCCACGCTGCTCCAGTGCTGACAGTCTGCAGTAAATTGAATTTAGATGTGAGATGCATTACATTCTTCTGTATTAGTGTTTATATCCATGTGAATTCAGAACTAATACAGGTTTAAGTAATATATCTTCCTCAGAATATAAATGCATCCTGTTATATTTCCTGTGCTGTGTAAAGTGTGACATTTCCTCTTCTCTCAGGTGGAGGGGCTGGCAGAGCAGGTGGGCATCGAACATCCTCGGAAACTGATCAGCTTCACATTGACAGGTGATTTGAGAACTTGTTGGAACACATTGAGACTGATATTAAAAAGTGCATATTTTAGTGGCTCTCTTGTAATCATCCTCAAAAACAACCAGAGTAAATCTGTATATGGTGTACATAATATTTCAATAAAGTTAACAAAGCCTACCAGATTGAGTTTGGAATTGGTTTTAATGACAGATTGTATCAAAAGGCAGAGATGATAGAAAACAGGCCCTCACTTCCTTTACCTAGATATCTGAAACTGTGACTGCTGTCTGGAATTTTTTGTTGCAGATTTGCGTGCCACTGGCCTGAAGAAGGGCATGTTTTTTAATCCGGATCCATACCTGAAGATGTCCATCCACCCAGGGAAGAGGAGCGTCTTCCCCATCTTCAGTCATCATGGACAGGAACGGCGATCAGCAATCATTGCTAACACCATCAACCCTGTCTGGCATGGAGAGGTGCTCTTACACCTCATTTTATTATCAGTCAGAGGACACAAGGGCTCACACTCTTTTAAACAGTATATTATTTAATATTTTATTAAGCATGTTCTGACCATATCTGTTTTTGCCTCTCTGCAGAAATACACATTTGTAGCACTAATGACAGACATCCTGTATATTGAGGTAAAGGACAAGTTTGCAAAAAGCCGACCAATCATCAAACGCTTCCTCGGCCAGCTGACTATACCTGTGCAGCGGCTTATTGAAAAGATACCTGGGTATGAACGGGCAAATATGAGTTCACACACACGCACAGAACATGCTCTATAATCACTGTCATAAAACATTCCTGCTTCAGCTCTGTCAGCAGGATCTACTACATTACTTACATTTTGTTCTCTCTCTAGTGTCCAGCCTGTGAGTTTCTCTCTGTGTCGGCGCCTGCCCACTGAACATGTAAGTGGTCAGTTGCAATTCAAAGTGGAGCTCACCTCAACCGGGCCTGATGGTAATTCTGCCTTTAATTATACTTGCATTTTTGTACATAAAATTGAAATGTATTTGTTTTCTTCAACATGCATCCTCTGCTGTCCACTCTAGGTGCTTCTCCTGATTCCATCATTGGCATTTCATCCTTAAACGGAGCACCAGGGACTCCATCTGATGACGAGGACCTGCCACATCACCTTCCAGGAGTGGTTTCTGCGGGACTCTCGCCTACCGGCTCCCAGAGCTCGCAGGGCATGTGGGAAAGTGGGGCCATGGCCTGCCCAGAAAAGGACCTGTCTTTTATGGGTGCTGCGGCTAGATTTGTGGGGCCTGAGAGCCTGTCGGGCCACCAATTGCTCCAAAGATCATTCAGTGAGGGCCTGGATGCTATTGAGGCCCCCAAGGGTCCTGGTGAAAGACCCCTGGGTGCAGCCTCACCCAAACTGCGCTCTAGCTTCCCCACACACACAAGGCTCAGTGCCATGTTGCACATAGATTCAGACGAAGATGAGGAGAGGTCAGGGGCCAATGACATCACTCCAGTGCCGCTCTCACCGCTACTGCTGAATGGAGAAGCTTCAGATGTTGACGGCCCCGAAGATGATGATGCTTTTCTAGAGCTCCAACAGCCTGAGCAGCTCGAGCCCTCTGTGCTTGTGGCGGAGCCTGAGGGTGCAGCTGCTGCGATAGAAGACACAGCCGCTGAGTTGGAGGTGGAAACAGGTCTGGACTTGGGCGATATTTTGGAGCTAGATGTATTTTCTGAGGCAGAGGAGGGTCCATTCACAGAGGCTGCGCTAGAGGGTTTAGAGATACCTGAGGAAGGAAGGATGCCTGGCGACGAACCCTCATCAGACATCGACACCTGCTCTATGGCAACAGCCCCACAGACAGTCTTCTCATCATCAGAGAGCTGTCCGGTCACCCTGACCACTGCTGTGGTGAGTTCATCAAGCTCTTGAACAAATACCTGATGGCTGCTATTGCTATTGAGAAGCAATACATGCATATTTTGGGTATTTGTTGCCACCCCAACCACCCACACCAGCAGATACTTGTAAGTAAGTCTAAGACATAAATTTCATATAGATTTGGTTTGGCGTGTTCAATTTACTACCAATATTATCATGTTGTGATATTGTGGACAAATACATATTTTTGTAGCATTTGTTCCCTAAATAAGCAGCATTTATTGTTGAGATCTAACAAACCTGCTAAGATCTTTTTTATGCCTTTGAAATTTTTGCAAAGCCTGTATGGCAACATTTTAAATTATACTTCTTGTTTGTGTGCTACCATTCCTCTTGTTCACTGTCTTTGTTGGTGCATCGCTACATTTACTTGCTCATTACTGCCACCAATGCTCAGTTGGGAAACAAATAATAGGAAGTGAATAGCGTGGCAGCTGTGTTGACATGTGTTTTTTTAAACTGATATTATTAATTTAATTGTATTTTGTAGGAAGCAGAGGAGGGAGCAGAGACAGCCATAGATCCAGGGGGAACCGTGGTTTCCAGCACCTCACCAACCCCGCAAGCTGTAGACGATGAAGGGGGTGGGCGAGCTGATGTCACTGAGGCTGAAGGAGAAGCTCCGCCATCCAGCGAGCTGGAGGAGGTTGAGGACATCAGTGTCAGGAGGCTCAGCCTCCAGGCGTCAGGGGGCGTGGCTGAAGAAAATGAAGGGGGGGAGGCAAAGCCAAATGAGGAGGCGGGGTCTTTGGATTCAGAGCAAGATGGAGAGGAAGGTACTCAGTTTGTTCGCTTTTTGTTGTGGAGATATTTGAATTGACAGTCCTGCAGGTGACTTTTAAGAACGAACTGAACAACAGTGCCCTTCAAAGCATATTTTCCCTCTGCATTTTGTGTTTACTGTATTCAGGTACCCATGTCAACGGCCATCCTGTACGTTCGCTCCCCTCTGTACGTCAGGACATCCACCGATACCAACGTGTGGATGAGCCTCTGCCCCCCAGTGAGTGTGTGTTTCTGCGTGCACCATATTGTTTTTCTACCTTGGACTACAAATGAACTCCTTAAGGTTTCACAGAATAATTGTTGACACAGTGGTTTCTCACTCAAACATGTCAGAAAAAATTACAATCCTTTGTAGCCACACCAGCAGGGCTTTAGGGATGCTAACACCACAGTCAATGACTTTGTTGATCCCCTGACTCTATCCTGGTACAGAGTATCTTGATAACAGCCTCAGATGTTTTAACACCCTGGTACCCAGAGAATGATTCCCAATGACTTTGATCGCTCAACTTTTTAATTAGCTATGTCAATAATTTTAAGTAAAATATCAAGACAACTAGAAGACATTCATGTTCCCCATGTGGACGTAGTCTAAAGATGGTACTGATCCTCTGACACAGCAAATGTTAGCTTACTAACACTCTAATGGGGTGACCACTTTACCTGCCTGATGGCAGCATGTTAGCATTGTCAGTGTGAGGATGTTGGCATATTTATGTTAATCACTGTGGAGCTGTTATCAGTAGACATTTTGTGAAAGCACATTCTGTGAAAGCATTTCTACAGAAATAATCAACATGTTTGGAAAAACAGATAAACAGATTTCAGTGTTGGATTACCTGAATATAAAGTCTTGATACACAGGGGAGTTTAAAACATGTTAATGTCATGTCTGTTATTAATTGCTTCTCAGACTGGGAGGCTCGTATCGACAGCCATGGGAGGATCTTCTTCGTGGACCATGTGAACAGGACCACCACGTGGCAGCGTCCCACTGGACCTCCTGCCCCGCAGGGCCTGACCCGCTCCAGCTCCATTCAGCAGATGGAGCAACTAAACCGCAGGTAGGCTTGGACAAGAGAAATGTAATGTTTACAGCATAGTTTTGTTAATAGTAAGTGCTGTTATTTAGAAGTAAATTCGATACTTTACTAAACTACATGTGTAGTTTATCTGTAATGTCTTTTAAGGTCCATAGGCAAAACAAAATGCATGCTTACAAAAATGTCCCCCTCAGAGACTTAGGCTAAGTTCTATGTTTTCACGTAATGGGACATGTGATCTTAATGTACCTTCGAAAAAAAATATTGCACAAACACTTACAATAGGGAAGTGATTCTATAATATCATCCCTTCATTCCAAAATCCTAATTTTTAATCTGATAAATTGATTTTCATAGAAATTAGTTAAACTGTTAATGTGTCGATTCTATGTATGACTACTTTTTTGCTGAACTCTATATTTTCACTACACTCACAACGACAGATACCAGAGCATCAGGAGGACAATTACAAACAGTGATCGGACAGAGGAAAGCGCTGTTGACCTACTACCTGAACCAGAAAGTGAACTGATGCCCCACTCCATTTCTGGTTTGTGAAATTATAGCAATTATTTTACACTTGAAGGTAAGAGCATGATGAAAAAATGCAAATATGGCCGAGTAAATATATAAATTGGTGTATTCTAGTTCCACAAAAATGTTCAACTATTTGATCAATTTCATCTATTAACAATACACCAGCCAAATAGCAGGTTGTGACTCAGTCTTGTTTATGTCGCTGGTACAAAATGTTATGCTTAGCATACTGCATCAAAAGATTGTCTGTTTAGGTTAACCTCTCCTTGTTGATTCTGTTGCAGAATACAGACGAGACAGTGCAGTCGCTCATGCCAGTGGTCGCACGCGCCTCTCTCTCCTGCTGCAGTCACCCAGCGCCAAGTTCCTGTGCAGCCCCGACTTCTTCACCGTGCTGCATTCAAACCCTGTCAGTGAAATATGCTTCTCCTCCTCTAGCCCCTTTGACCATGCAGTTCTTTTTTACGTTGTTCAAGCTGTCTGCATACTATTTTCCATTCAGCAGTTAGACTCGTTAGGCTTTGAACACTTCAAACAACTCGGAGCCTCCTTCATTGTAACTGCTGCCTGAATTAGCCACTCTATATTCAGTATGTAGTGCTGTAATTCAGTGCTGCACATTGGCACTGTTGTTTACTACAGGTAATGAGTTAGAGTTGGTTATAAGTGATGATCAGTAAATGCAGTTACCAATATCGTTCATCAAATAATGAATTATGAGGCTACACGCATACTTTATGTACCACTGGTTCTATAGTGTAAGTACCTAACTGAGAGACTATCTATGATCATCTATTTCATTCAGTTGAGTTTAGTGTAATGTGTTTTCTATCTCTTTCTACTGTCAAGAGTGCCTACCGCATGTTTACGAGCAACACCTGCCTGAAGCACATGATCAGTAAGGTGCGCCGGGACGCTCATTACTTTGAGCGCTACCAGCACAACCGAGACCTCGTCACCTTCCTCAACATGTTCTCCAACAAGCAGCTGGAGCTTCCCCGAGGGTGGGAGATGAAACATGACCATACTGGGAAGGTGTGTGTGTGTGTGCGACAGACCCCAACACTTTCACTCCTGACCTAAGATTACCTTAACCCTTTTTTACAATCTTTATTTGCAGTGCACTGCACATGAAGATACATTTTTGTGTACACAGTGTAGTTTGTCCTTGCATAACAGTGGGTATTTGGACCTCAATCTCCAGCCCTTCTTTGTGGATCACAACTGTCGCTCTACGACCTTCATCGACCCACGGCTACCCCTCCAGAGTTCTCGCTCGACTGGGCTGCTGGCCCATCGCCAGCATCTGAGCCGCCAGCGCAGCCACAGTGCCGGGGAGGTGAGAGACTACCCAGCACTCGTCACCTGGTGTCAACTTAAGGCTCACACAACACTGCAATATTTATAGAAGCTGGTTCAAAGGAGAGAATTCTTAGTTGCTTTTTAAATTCTGCTGGGGTCTTGAAGTGGAGCCATCAGGCATAAAGTGAATGCTACTGGAAGTGCAGGAATAGAAAGTTAACCCAATTTTATTTCATATTTCACATTATTACTACATTTTGTTAGTATAAATAACCCTAACAAACATAAATTCCAATTAATCAACATATATCATCCAGGCACATAACCTTTTTCCAAAAGCAGCTCAGCTCTGTCTCAGTCTCTCTCCATATTTCTCTCGTGTGTCTCTCAGTCTCTCTTCTCTCTCTACTCCTTTTAAACTAGACAGAGTGATGAGCCAACTAGACCCAGTTATGCTAATCACCCTCCATGACACAGTTGGTGTTGCTCACAGATATGTGAGGATAAGTAAAAACACAAGGGAGCAGATTGAATGTGAAACATTATTAAGGTAATAGATTTTGTATAGTTGGCCTTTAAGGGAACCAATTCTTTGTGATGCATTCAAGCCTGTGGGAAAAGTTAGATTTCACTGAAATCGTTGATTTTCATATCATACTGGTATGAGTAAAACCACAGACACCTGATTAATAGTATATTTATGTCAAAACATAATTAGGGAGTATATATTCAAGTCATTTGTGTTTTAAAGGACAGAAAGAAGAAAAGAGGAATTCAAACTGACCACTGCAGCATTGGTAATTGGATGTCTGAGGGAAACATGTTTAAAATGTGCTGGACTTTTGGTTTTATCAGACACACAGACCATAGAAAGGTCAATTCATTGAGAAGAGAGCAGCTGACCGAGGGAAATGGTGAGACAGCATCAGACAATGAAAACATAAGTGAGAGTGGTAAAAGAAAATATTGCTGCAAATTAAAAACTGCCTAAGAAACCAATGTTACAGGAGCTCTGTGTTCACCACATCTCAAGACAGAAATATCCACATTTGTATTCACACATTTTTACCTTTTCACCATGTTCTGTTTTATCCCAACCATTATCTAGCTGATTGTTGTAAATGGGTGAGAATATGCTAAACTAACCAGTATCCAGCTGGTGTTGATTTGGTAGCGTTGAGGTCAGTTCGGTGGGTCGGTGTCAGAACTAGGATGCGACCTGAACTGTAGTGCTTCCTTTTGTCACAGGTAGTTGACGACTCTCGCCAAACCAACCAGCCCGCCATGCCCCGCCCCTCCAGCACCTTCAGTGGCTCCAGTCGGAGTCAGTGCCACGATGTGGTGCCTGTCGGTGAGTCGAGCAGGTTCCCATGCACATGTGCATAGATGCAAGAATACAGTGTAAACATGCAGAGACAAGACACAGTGCACACATTTCTAATTGTCTTATCTTAATCCTCCAGCCTACAATGACAAGATCGTGGCATTTCTACGGCAACCCAACATCTTAGAGATACTGCAGGAAAGGCAACCCGAGCTCGCCAGGAACCACTCACTCAAGTATGTTGAAATCTCTCTTTGTCTCTCTTTCATTGCTTCCATTTTTACTCTCCCCCACCAGCCCTGTTCAGCTCCAGCACCTCCACTATCATCATCATCAGTCAACTTCAACACACAGTTAACCTTTAATCCTAATGGATTGAGCCAGTTTGCCCATTGACACGTGTGTGTGTGTGTTTTTGTGCGTCTGCAGGGACAAGGTCCAGTTTATTCGCGGTGAGGGCGTCAGTGGGTTGGCTCGTCTCTCGAGTGACGCTGACCTCGTCATGCTGCTGAGGTGGGTCCCCTGCATGTCTGTGGTTTTGATGGCCTGATTAATATTCACTTGTGGAAATTATAATCAGTTATAACCCCAACACTTCCAATACAAGTCTTAATTCTCTGTTTTTTTTCCACCGATGCTGATGCAATACTGCTGGCTCCAGCTTGTTTGAGGAGGAGGTGATGTCATATGTGCCGCCATTACTTCACCCAGGTTACAGCATCGCCTCTCCTCAGAGCTCCCCTGGTAAGTCTCTGTCTCACTCTGTCTGCACCAGGCAGTCCGACCGCAGCAGCTTTATTGGCATGAGACACTACCTCTCGTCTTTATTAGATTCCTACCTGTTATGAAATTCCATGAGATTTGGTTTACATTGTCTTATTAAATACAAGAAGCAATTCCATAGTACCGCCATACTGTATGACACAGAGCTTGATGTCTGGCTAAGATAAAACATAAGACATGAATGTACAAAAGTAATCACACTCTTCCTTTCCTTCCTACCTACCCACCCTGTTCATAAAGACAGTTCATACTGCAGTCCACACTTAGCTCTCTGTCCTGTATCTTCAAATGTATATAGACATTTTTTACATAACACAACTTACTCATTTCATAACAACCGGAGAGATTTGAAGAAAAAATATCATAATGAAGTGTAAAGCTTTTCCCATTGAAGTCATTCAATCCACGGCAGTAACATCGTTCTAATGTGCCACACACTCCGATTATTATCAGAAGTGTAGAGCTGAAATACACCAAACCACAACCACTTGACTTAATTCAGAATAATTGGATATAATTGGCAAGATATCTTTGAAAAGAAACTGAATTCAGAAGACTGAACAGTTTGTTGCTGGGTGTAAGGGCCATGTGAGGAAAGAAAAGAACTTCTTCATATTTGTTATCCTACCAGTGCTAGAAATCAACTGTGTATAGTTGTTCTGAAGTGAAAAGCTTGCAATCATAGAGAGGATCTAAGATGACTTTATTTGTGGAAAGACATACAAAATACATACGTACTTTGGTAGACACAATATTGTTTAAATCTTTGGAGACTGGTGCATACAGTGTTACTCTCAGATTCAGTGCTACAAATAAAGATTAGAGAGCTAGAGAGAGAAGTTGGAAACCTGCTCACTTTCTTGGCCACCTGACCGTTCACCGATACAGGCTTCGATTCCTCAGCTCATAAGTCACTGCTCAGCTACATCTCTCTGGCCCTCTGTGCAGACTCTTTATGCTCAGCCTTCTGCTAACCTTTAACTATTCAATGAGATTACAGACATTTAGATACAGGAGCAGAGATGTAGCTGTGAGCTGAAAAACAGGGTCTGTCTGTTTGTTGTTTTCTTTAAATAGTCTGATACAGAATAGCAATCCAGGATTAACCTGCATATAGTAGGCTACCTCAGATTCTTAGACTCTTCACCCAATCAGGTGTTAACCATTTTCCACTTGAGATCATTAATATTTTTCATTTCTCTCTCCCTATATCTCTGCCCACTTTTTCCTTTCTGTTGTGCCTACTGTTTTATATGTACGTTACATTTACTCCCCCATCTCTCTTTCTGTTTGTGTCTGTCTGTCGGTCAGCTAACTCTCCCTCTCACTCTTTTGTTTATATCTCAGGCACTCAGCGAGCCAATGCTCGTGCTCCTGCTCCCTATAAGCGAGATTTTGAAGCTAAACTGAGAAACTTTTATCGAAAGCTGGAGACCAAAGGTTACGGCCAAGGACCAGGGAAAGTCAAGTATGTTTAAAAACTGCAATTTAAAGAGATTTATGAATGGGTTTCCTGATATAGCAATGCTTTCTATTTATCAAATTATATTAAAATAGCAGTCATTTCTATGGCCGGTTCGTTAACACTTCTTCATTTACTGTTTTAAGTGAATGGAAACACAAAGACAAGGAAGCAAGGGATGTGTTTTCAGTGGTGGGTCTCTGTCTCATCATCCTTGGCTGTCACGTGACTCCATTCAAAACTAAGGGGACATTAGTTTCTCTGAAGTGAAGAAAATATATGTTATGATGATATAGTTCTGAAAAAAATGTAATGTCACATAGACCGGTGTTTAGATGTCTTTTTAATATTTTAGATGGGTAAGCTTAACAATTTTAAAGGATGAGTCTGTAAATATTTCATGTTTTTAACAAGTACAGTGTGTCTAAATGATTCCTCAGTGACATAGAGCTCCTTTTTGGCCACAAACTATTAAGAACACATCAGTGAATTACACTGTCGCTTCTCGCACACACACACACACACACACAC